AATATACACAATAGTCATATATATATATATATATATATATATATATATATATATATATATATATTATTATAACTTAGCAATTCTTATAGTAGGTCTTAAAAACTTAATTGAGACTATTTTTTGAAAATATAAGTTTAGTTAGAATTTTTTAGTTTTTAACACAAACAATGCATAATGTGGGATGTAAAATCCACTAAACATATGATGCACATGCAGGATAGGAGAACTTCATATGTATGGGTAACAGCCTTATCTAGAATGTTTGGTGTATAGTATTCCTCCTGACTGTCACAAACTTGTTGAAAAATGCAACTAAGCAACACATAGTTGTTTAATAAAAATATATTTACAATGAAGTTTATATCAGAAAATAACTGAATGTTTATCTTATATCACAACACAAAAATAAATTATTTTCACACATTCAGAGTTTTATAAGCACAGAACAACAGGAATGAATTCCTGCAAGAATATTATTAAACGAGTTATTTCATTGTATCATATAGTTTATAACTTAATAAAAAAAAACTTTAAATATAAAGAAGATAATTCTTTTTAACTTCTGTTAAATGAATGATCACCTAATACTAGGGAACTTTTTAAATCCTCTGAAGAATATTATGTTGATAGCGAATGTTCAGTTAAATGTCATTTTGTTTTCAGAAACTATTAAACTACTGTTTTATAAACAATCATGATTAGATATTAAAATGGTAAGATAAAAGGTGTTTACACTAACTTATTTCTATGTTTTATAATGTAAAAGTGATGATAAATTGTATAAATAAAAAGTTATTTTACATGTGCCAAGTTATATGTAATATTGTTTCAGCTACAAGACCTTTTAGCTGCTCACCAAGCCATTATTGCTCTGACGAAAGAGAAAACAGACTGCATGAATAGCATGAAAATAGCATTTATGAGGAGGGCCTGTGCATTGATTGTAGAAACCGTGGGTGTGTTCTGTGGATCTAGAGGTAAGCTAATATTCTGTATTATAATATTATTGTTCTACATGTTGAGATTTTTGACATTTAAGTAAAAAGTTATCACTTGATGAAATTGTATTGTTCCAATGATAGTTTCTTCTTTAAACTTTTACTTCAACCCCTTATTGTGAACATATCAAAACATGGGAAAAATAATTCAGTCATGCAAATTAGGATTGTCTGAGAATAATCTCATAAATCCTTGACCTTTCTAGTATTTTTATGAACATCACACTTAATATTCAGATGGGTAACAACAGAAAATAAATTAAGATATTAAAAAACTCTGATAATAAAAGTACACTGAGTGACGTACAGTTAAACCTATGTATAACAACCATCTCTGTGGAAAGGCTATGTTAGATTTTATATGCAGTTGATTTCTGTACAAGAGCATGAAACTTTATCACAAAGTTATATGATTATTATTTTCACTTCAAAATAAAAAAGATCTAAAAATCTTGAAGTAACAAGGAAATTTATTATATGTTTAAAAAATATGTATATTCATGTCTCTTAAACCTCATCTGTAATGAATGAACTTAAGTATGTTACTATCTCATCATTTATATTTACAGTTACATGAATTGAGCTGGGGTTTTATAACTACAGTGTAAATTTAAAAGTAATTTTAATTTGAGATAATATATATATATCCCATGCCTAACTAGTACCATTTTGACATATCTGATAACACAGGATGCAATGGTTTTGTTGTTTTGAAATTTTTACATGATCTACAGTAATTACTATATGCTGAATCCAAAAATGATATACATTTTCCCCCCATCACGTACAGATTTTTCACAAAACATCATAACACAATACATAAAAAAAAGACCACACCATGTAGTTTTGAGACTAACAGATGTCAATTTCACAAAAAAAAATTCACGATGAATGAGGATGCATATTCATTTGACATCAATGTCCTTCCCTTTTCTTCAGTAATAAAAAATGTTCATTATGGTAAACTCTTACTTAGATCAAATTATTATTTCGTTTTTTTTCTTCCCAATTTGTGAAAAATCTTTACATGATAGAAAAAAATCAATATTATTTTCAAAATCTGCATAGCTGAATTCTGGAAAATCCGTTGTTAAAACCAAAACAACTTTTATGAAGTTTAAATTTGCAGGCCTGTGTTATTGGTGGATAAAACAACTTGAAACTTTGTAAGTTAGGAGTGGCCAAATAATAATAATAATAACATCAGATAGCCAAGGATGGTTAAATTCTAAATTCAATATGTAATTGTTTTTTCTCCTAATTTTTAATGATAATTTGCCACAACTAGTAAAGATAACTATGCCATCTGTGTTATATATTTCATTGGCTTCATGGCTTTATTCACTAGCAGTGGGGAAATTGAAATGGCTGTTAGCATTAAACAGGTTTTTACTCAGCAAAAGGTCTTAAAACAAAACACAAGTTGGTTAAGACTAAGGAAAAATTTAATTGTATGTATGGTTGCTGTATCAAAATAGTATCTTTTTTTTTTAGAGTTGATGTAATCTATCATCAATTTGTGAAAAATACTGTTTCTTATGACAGAATAAATACTAAAAAATATTAAACATATACAGTTTTTAAATCTCAGATTTCTGTTCTTAGTATAGACATGAAAAATATTACTTGAAAAATTAAACAGATTTAAATCTATAACAATCTCTTATGATCTTATTATAGGCATTTTCAGGACTACTACATAAAATTCTGTTTTTTATAGATATATATATTATGAAAAATGATTCCAAAATAATGTTCCAAAAAGCTTAAAGATATAGTTATTTTCAGAACAATAGTCACAAAAAAGGTATTTTTTTATGATTGAAAACAGCACACACTTTAAATATTTAGGTCAACGACTAGGAGTAGATGAGTCTAATGTTACTTCTAGTCTTTCGTCTGGTGGACATTCAGCAAAAACGTCATAATTCCTGGTTAGCTAGTGATAAGTTTTCACAATAAAACAATTTTACCTCAACAGCCAAATTCTCATATCAGCTCTTCGTTCAACAAAGATGCGGTTGCCCCAAATGGAAATTTTGATACCTGTTACATGACTGCTGAGGTGAGTTCCTACTGTCCCACATTAACTTTATTTTGTTGATGCATTATAGATGTGATATTTGGATACTATGTATCTCCTATAGTATACCATATCATACAAATATTTAAATTTTTATAGAGTTCTAATTTGGAACATACTAAATCCAGTCATTGTTATGTGCCAATATGTTATTTTATAGCATGTTTTGGTCAAGGGAATTACTACAAGTCAACAACCAACTTCTCATATCAGCTCTTTGGTCATCAAACAAACAGTTGCTCCAAATTTAAATTTTGATACCTCTTATATGAAAGCTGAGGTGAGCTTCTACTGTACCATATTAACTTTATTTTGTTGACTAATTATAGATGTGGTATGTGGATACCACATGTGTTACTCTCCTATGGTATATCATACAAAATATTTAAATAATTATATAGTTCTAATTTAGAACATGTTAAATCCAGTCATTGTTGTGTGCCAATATGTTACATTTTTAGCATTTTTCAGTGAAGGAAACTACTGTCTGTGGGATAGGTGTTTGGTTGTTCTACATTTTCATGTGTGTAAGGACTGCTCTGTGAATGTCACATTGAGCATAGATACCTCCAAATACTTGTGATTCAACTTTATGGCTCTGTAGTAAGTGTAAGGGCTAATGACACGAAAAATCTGATTTTAATACCTGTGATGAGCACAGCATAGATAACTCACTTTGTAGCTTTGTGTTTAACATCAAACAAATACAATCCAGTTTTGCCATTGGACAACCTCTTGTTCTTGTTTCGTCTTTGCAAACCTTGAACATTTGTTTTGAACATAGTGTATATAAAGATGGTAGATTGTTTCTAGAAGTTTGAAAATTAGTTGTAAATAAGTATTTACGTGTATGATAAGATGAGGACTTTTTTAAGGCAAGTATTTTATTATTATTTTGGATTATAACAGACTTTGTGAGTATAGTGTTTCTATGAATTTTATAATTAATTGATTTATTTGTACAGCTGAATTCTCTGTTGTCAAATAAAGTATCTAAATCAGCCTTCACTTCAACACATCCAAGTTTTGTAACTGCAAGAAAATCTAGTAAACAATTATTTTTATTGAAAGAAATGCAGCAAGCACACAAGATCTATTTTGGTAACATCAAAGTAAACAAGAGTAAATCCACCTTTAACATCTGTAGCTGTGGGAAGACCTGTGCCCTTGAATAATGTATGTAAGCATGTAATAACAGTTCTTTGACATAAATATGATGCATACATAACAATATGAAATTTCTAAAAGTACTTCATAAACAACATGTTTTGTACAACAACAACTTAGGAAAGGTGTGAATATATAATAAAACCAAGCATATTTTAATAGATCCACTCTCTATTGTTTTGTTTTTATCTCACCTTTCTCTATAGGTACCTTTCTATTTCATGTTGATTTTTAGGGTAGTGCTTGTAAAAATTTCCATTTATTGTAAAGTTTGAATTTGTTATTCTTCTCTTCTATACTGCCAGTTCATTGAAATTTCTTTTGATAAAGTTTTTAAATGGATATATCTAAAAAACTGTGTGATGTATAGATTCAAATAAACTAACATAATACCTTTCTTTCATATTATATTTTCTGGCACATAGTTTCTGGGCTAGGTTTTGTATTGTCTTGTAGTTACAGTTTAGTTTCAAAAGAAGTTATGCCTTTTACATAAAGTATTTATGGTAACATTTTTTTTAATAATCTTAGACAGTTGTTTATAAGACAGTAACTCAATATTTGGCTCTTATTGTTATATAAAGTAATCATTGATATGTTTATAGGCATTGTACATGTCATGATTCCTCACCCTTTGTTTTGACCATGTAATTCAACCAGACTAGAAATTAAAACAAATGACTGGAAAGTAATTTTTATTTTATTGTGTATATTCTAGTTTTATCAAACTTGTACATTTTCTTGATGTGTTATTTGCTGTACATTTGAAGTTCAAAGCGGTGATTCTCTGTTGCACAAGTGGGTTATCATATTAACACATTTACCAGGAATCTGTAGAATAAACTAAAACTTTTGACAGTAATACAGGATACTGCTGGACATGATGTTACTGTGAAGTATCCACTAACAAGGTCTGGAAGACTCCTTTCAAACAGAAACAGAAACTTTACTAATTATTGTACTGTACCTTATTTCTATATATATACTTTACATAGGTAGCACTAAACTATTGTGATAAACATCAAAGTAAAGTTTATTGTTATAATAAAGTTATTGAAAAAGATATAACATTAAATTTTATTTATTTTGATTTTATGCAGCTTTGTTGTGAATTCCTATTTCTTATTTTAAAACTTAAACCTTATGTGTTTTTTTCAAAACAATCGTATATTAAGTAAATTTGAAATGTTCATTTGCAGGTAAGAAAACAGTATATAAAGGCATTGTCTAATAACAAGTATGATGCACAGATTCAAAATAAAGCTTCTGATCAAGCAAAGGATTAGTCAGGATTTTACAATTGTGGATTATTGCATATCAAGTCGGAAAATACATTTACATCATTGGAAAGATAATTTTTGTACTTTGTTTTAATGCTAAACAAATCATTGTACAAGGTAGCATCCATGGTTAGTACTGGTTTTAAGTGAAACGTAATCATCACAGCCAGTTTAACGAGACTATTTAAAGTGTTCAAATGATTTGGGAGTTATAAAATTTACTATTCAAAACAGATTTCTTCTGTTTAAATTTATAAAGAGCACATTCAATTAAGTGCAAAATATGCAGTAGCTAAGGTGAAATTGTAGTTAACTCTTGACCTTATTTCATTTGTGTGCTAACATTCTAAACACTTTCTAGTATTAACAGACTCAAAGTGGAATTGGTTTTTGTTCTTTTCTGGAGTGTGTGCAAACTCACAAACAGTTAATAAATTCTTAGGGTTCTTAGAAACCTATTTTTAGGACTTGTAACCTCCAGAAAGGTCTACTTAAAACACACAATTTAATAATATATTTTTATGTATACTGACTCTTCCTAGCTATTTTTGAATCAAACTGATCATTGGAAAACCCTTGATTACTTTTTTTTTTCTGTACCCTGTTATAGTATGGCTTATTGGAGTAAATTCCATCCATTTAGCTTGATTTTAGTGGATACTTCTTTTAAATTCATATATTCTTGTATCTGTTGCTTTTTGTTAGTTACATTCAGGCTGAAGTGTAGTATAATGTCAATCATATATATTTTTATTAATAAATATTAATAATGTATAAATGTCACCAAATGTTTTGTGAAGCTGGTGATGTAAAAAAACTGTAAAATTCAACTATTCACATTTTCTCATAATTTTTTTGTTTCTGAAGTTATTAAACTCATAAGTAAATCATCTGAAATGTAAGATAATTTAATTTCTCAAAGTCTATGTTTGTTTGTTCCTGTAACTTATTTCAAAATCTACTTGTGTAGGCAGAAAATTTGATGATTTTCACCATATGAATAAAAATTCCAACAAGAAGCCAAAAGTTAACAACTAGTGCTAGAGTTTAATTTTGTTTTTAATTATTCCATTCAAAATATATTTATTAATAGTTACATCAAAAGAAAATTTTAAATCTCAACATTTTAAGTATAATTTTATTTTGTGTGGATACATCACAAATAATTTTTCAAAATTTGATGTTGCACATTTTGTCCTGGTTACACCCAGAATGCCTGTGCTGGGGAAGGTTGATAGCCAAGTAGGTTAATTTCTATAGTAATTGCTCTATTATCATTGTGGTACTGTAATAGCAAAGGCACTGAAGTACCTTCAGAAAATATGTTCTGAAACATTTATTGAAATTGCAAAAAATTGCATTAAGTCTAAAGAAACAACTTAATAACTGTAAGTTATTTATTTGAATTGTTTTGCTTACATGACACATATCTTTGTTTTCACTTGTATGTCAATCATTATATTTTGTTAAAATAACATCACTTGTTATTTTGATTTCCCCTTTTTTATTAGAATTTGATTTCTTTTGCTGTATTTTTTTAATGTTTTTACAGTTTTTATTTGTGTTGAAGATATTACATTATGGTATAAGAATAGTTTTTATGGTTTGTTGAAGCGTGGTTAAGATATTAATGATAAGATATAGTTTTTTTTTTGTCTGACAAAGCTGCCCTCTTTAAGTTGAGGATTCAAGCTTTATTAGATGAAGAGATGTCACTGTCAGTTTTAGGTATATTTCAGAATATGGCCTGTTTAATCACTCTTGCTTTTCTTTGTGTTTATGCTACAGTTCAGTCAGGTACATTTGATTGTCTAATGGTGGTGTGTCATCAATGTTTGCTTTCTACATAGTTCTCAGTCCTATACTTTCATTCCCAGTGTTTTGTGTTAACACGTACAAGACAATAGGATTGTAGCTTAATCATAGTTTTAATGAAAGAAAAGGAGATGATTATTTTGTTCATGCTAAGACTTTTGAGTACAGTGTTGATCATTCTTTTATCTATTGCCCCTCAGTGGCAAGTCTGCAGGCTTACAATGATAAAAATCAGGTTTGATACCCTTGGTGGGCAGAGCACAGATAGACCATTTCGTACGTTTGTGCTTAACCAACTCAAACTTATCAATTTCTTAGTCTTAAAGCATTGTAATTGTGGAGGATAGATTAGAATCTGTAAATTTATGGTAGGTTGTTTCCAAACCACCAAAATGCTATAGATTTTGTAGATGATCTTTTTCTAATATCATAACATCACAGTGAGAACATCTTTAAATCATCTTAAACATCATTTGTTCACAGGTGTCAATGGAGATGTGATCTTTAGCCAGGCCAGTATCACTATGCATATAGCTTTGGACATGCTTTATTTAGTAGATTATGTTAATGCGACATGCTCTTTATAGCATTATTTATATCTAAATATAATGTATAATTATCCACACTAGAAATGATAACGTAATTTTTTAATATTATGAAATATTTAAATTAGATTTGGCAAGTTTCAAGAATTTCATCTTTTTCTTCTAATTATTCAATCTGTTTATGTTTTGTTTGTCTAGTAATGATATTTAACACTTACTCTTGTTTTATGTATGTTTGTTCCTGTAACTTATTTCAAAAGATAATTTAAGACTTGGCTTTACAATAGTCTTAAGTTTGGCACAGTAACTATGGCCTCTGTGCAAGGATAAAAAATACTGATAATTTTCCTAAGATCTCCTCAGTTTGTGTTCTGGATTCTCATTTTAGAATAAAAAAAAACGTTTGATTAAAAGCTGTAACTGCAATTTTGACATTTGATTTGTTATCAGCTTGCACATGCTGAAAAAAAGCAAAGGAAACAAGTAAACAAAAAAAATTGGAAATATGTGCAGAGTGGTATAAAAAACCTAGAAATAAGTTTGTTCAGTATTTGATATTGTTTTTTCAACCTAGTAGTAAACATTGCAGTTACCAGTGTTTCTATGCTGAATATGAATACAATAATGCTACTAGTTAGGGAATGGAAATACCGGATACTGAATATTTCCATACTGTCTCCTTCTCTCATTGTTTTTTTATGTATTCCTGCATCTATTTGTTGTTTGTAGAACAAGTTTGTTTTACTTTTCAAAAATCTAGTGCATTTTACATTTTACTTACTAGGCAGGTATAAATTCAGAAACACTTTTGTTAGTGACAATTTATGTTGGATTACTATTGGCAAAATAATTGCTGTCAAAATTACATTATTAATTAAAGTGTATTACAGTAGAGGATTATATGTTGGATTACTATT